GCGTATCCGTATGGCGGGGGGAGGGGAGCATGGAGAACGACTCCAGAAGCTGCTCCAGCTGCTGGGTGCAGGGCAGGGAGACAAACCCACCCACCCCCACAGCCGCCAGCGGCCACAGGGAGCGAGCAGCAGGAAGCTGCTCTAGCCCCAGTGCACTGCAGCTGGTGGCGGGAGGGGCATTTTAAATCACTCCAGAGGGGATGCACGGGAGGGCGTGGACCCAGGGGGAAGCGCAAGGGGGTGGCAGGTGGGGCCAGAGAGAGCCGGGCCCATAGAACTTGCTGCCCATGGCTCCTGTAGCTGCGCCCCAGGAGCATGGGTGGCATGTACATACACACGTCTGCTCTGCGTCAGGCAGCGCCAGGGTGTCGGGCTGGCTAGCAAACGTGGGTGTCGCCAGTGGAAAGCCCCCTTTGAGGAAGCCCTCCCCCAAACGCTGAGCACAGCGTAAATCGGGGGGAACGCCTCCCGGTGAGTCAGTCTGGAAAGGAGCAGCCCACAGCCCTGGAAAAGCCCATTGTAGCGCACCGCCCTCATCGGCTCGGGTGCTGGAGGAACGCAGAGGCTGGATGAAAGGTGGCTCTTTTAATAGTGAACGTCGGCTTGTTCATTTCAGGGGGTCACATAAGGGACACTATGGGGGGGGGGGCAGAACCCAGTGACATGCAGCTCTCCCATGCCTGCAGGGGACTGGTAACGTTCTCTGGGAATAGCGAGCCCAGTGAGACTAAGTGACTTGCCAGAGGTCACACCGAGTATCTGTGGCAGAGCAAGGAATCAAATATGTCTCTCCCTAGTGCTCTAACCATGGAAGCAGCCTTTCACCTTGCGACACTATGGGGGGGGGGGCAGAACCCAGTGACATGCAGCTCTCCCATGCCTGCAGGGGACTGGTAACGTTCTCTGGGAATAGCGAGCCCAGTGAGACTAAGTGACTTGCCAGAGGTCACACCGAGTATCTGTGGCAGAGCAAGGAATCAAATATGTCTCTCCCTAGTGCTCTAACCATGGAAGCAGCCTTTCACCTTGCGTGTCCATTTGCACCTTGCATATTACCTTGCCTCTAGCAATACATGAGCCATGCCTTCCGCAGCGCTTCCCCCAGAACAGCCTGCCTGTTTCTCACCATCTCACCAAATCACCCTTGGTTTACCATTTCTCCTCTGCAGATCTACCATTTAGCCCTGGCACCGGTGTCTCAATTTGTTTCTCCCTCTGCTTTAATTAGAACAGGTCAAAGGCCTCGGCAAGCTAGTCAGTTTGCAAGAATTAGTTTCCAGCAGTAGCTGTAATACGCCACTTCCTGAGACCCCTGCCTCTTGGTATAGCGTGAAACACACAAAAGGAACAAGCTGAAACGCTCAAGAAGGGTTGATTCGCCGTTCAGCCAAACTGGTTTCACACCAGCAAGTTGCAATTGCATCAACGGGGATGAAAAATCAAGCCCAGGGCAATATTTTCTCCGGAGCATATTTCATCTCTCCTCCTCATAGACCTTCCTCGGAACAGCAGTGGGGGAAAGCGTAGACTGAAATGCAACTTGACACTGACACTTTCCCTTTAACTTCACGCTGTTATTATTGCTGTTGGCAAAGTATTTCAGGCGGGGGCAGACGGGCAAGCCCCCCAGCCGGTGTAGCCCCACTGACAGCCAATTGCAATATTGTCAACGGAGCGTGTTCCAAAACCACGAATCAGGCCCCTCGGCAGTGTGAGACTGGGTTGAAATCATGGGGCGGGGGTTCTGTCTTTGCCTTTTGAGCCGTCAAGGGATCACTTGCTTCTCGTGCGCAGGCTTTTTTCTGCAACCGCGAGAACGAGAAACCTAGAAACGTACCGGTTTTTGTTTGTACCGAAACCTGAGATGCCCAGGTCATATCAGGATTTCCTCACCTGGGACTTTAAGAACACGCAATACCACGGGACTCGAGATGAAATTGTGAGTGTTGGCCACACTGCAATTAGCACCAGCTGAGCCTTTGGCCTGTGAACTGGTTTTTCCCAGGCTATGCGCCGAGTCTTTGCGTATTCAGATCAAAATATGCAAAATTGGAAGCTTCCTTTCTAGGGAACCCAATGGGAGACACCTGGGACCAGAGATTCAGGGGTGCTACCGAGCACCCGCACCTGGAAATGACGTCAATAGGAGCTGTGCATACTCCCCACTAGGCCCCAGGTGTCTCCGGCTGGGGCGCTCACAATCAGAGGCCACGTTGGAGAACGCTACCCTTGATCTGTTATCAGCGCCTGCTCCGAAACAAAAGGGTGCAGCTGTGCGCGGCGCTCGTTCGCAATTGTTCTCCCCCCCCGCCCCTGTGCGGCAACTGTCTGTGTGAGCAAGGGCACAGGCAGGCACAAGGAGGTGGCTTTTCAAAGGCACAAACAGCAGCGATGCACCCGACACTCGGCAACTTTCCCAGGGGCCCACTTGCCTTGTGTGTCCTTGAAAACGACATTATGCGAAAAGACAGGACCCCGCCTGAAGCAGGCTGAGCTGGCCCTGAGAACTCTCCCGGGATCTTAGCCTGGAGGGTCTTGTTCATCTGATCACACGATCACCATAGACAGGTCAGACGGGAAGGGATCTTGGAGTTTTTTCATCTCCCCCTGCAGCGTGGGGTGTGGGTCCCTGGCCAGGATGATGTGGCTGTATTTCCCAGTTCTCGATCCCTCCTGCTCTTTGCCAGTGGCACCCTACAATCTGGTCTCCTGAGGTCTGTAATCCCGTGGTCTGATTCTGGTGGTGGGGTGACTGACAGGTATTGAAAGGCCCGGGATATACAGGCGTTCGGAGACGATGGCTAGAGCCTTGGCCTAAAACTCTATGTCTATGAAACCTCCAGTGTTACAGCTCCGCAATAATTATGCTGCAGAGAAGGGTAACAAGCTATAAATGTACCAGAAGAGAACCCTTAATAAAAAAACTGGGAAGCTGCTGCCCTGTCCATGGGGGGCAGGGAGGGGGGGCTAGCCAAGGCATATGGAAATTAACTGGAGTCTTTCTGTTGCCTTAGTGGAGATCAGACCACCTCAACTCCCATCCGCGGGACAGCCGGAGATTTTCCAAGCTGTCAGCAAAGTTCTAGCTAATCAAAATTAAAAACGGCAACAGGACTAACTTAACTCACTTTTGGTTCTTTCCAAAGGGCTGTCTCCATTTCTAAATTCTCCTCCACATTTGCTTTGTGGGAAGAAATTCAAACTTGTGACAGAGCAGCCTCCTTCTTTTGTATAAATCATTAAATCATAGACATGCAGAGCTGGAAGGGACTCCGAGAAGTCCCCATCCGCTGAGGCAAGACCAAGTAAACCTAAGACCAGCCCTGACTGGTGTTTGTCCAACCTGTTAAAAACCTCCAATGATAGAGATTCTACAACCTCCCTGGGACCCCTATTCCAGAGTTTAACTACCCTTAGAGCGAGAAAGTGTTTTCCTACTATCTATCCTAACTCTCCCTTGCTGCTGATTAAGCTCATTGCTTCTTGTCCTACCTTCAGCAGATCTGCAGAACCAACATTCACAGTCGTCTATATTAAAGCCCTCCACATAGCTGAAGACTCTTAGCAGAGTCCCCCTTGGTCTTCTTTTCTTAAAACTAAACACGCCCTGGTTTTTTAGCCTTTCCCTATAGGTCAGATTTTCTTAGCCTTTTGTCATTTTTCGTTGCTCTTCTCTGGACTCAGTTCGTCCCCATCTTTCCTATGGAGTGTGGCATGGAGAGTTTGACTCAGTTCTCCAGATGAGGTGCCCCGAGCGGAAAGGGACAATTACCTCCCAGGTCTTACATACCATTCTTCCATTAATTCACACCCAGAATGGTATGAGCCTTTCCCAGCACGGCATCGCGTGGTTGACTTGCCTTCCACGCGAGCGTCACTACCTCCCAGATCCTTTTCAGCAGTCGTCCCACCTAGCCCGGGATGGGCTATCATTCTTACAGGGGGGCCACTCCACGCATTTTGGGAAGTCGTCAGGGGTTGGCTCCTGGCCCCCAGAAGGGGCAGGGACTCAGGCAGAAGGGGCAGAGTTGGGAGCGAGAGCAAGAGACTCTGTGCGTGACGGGGTGTGTGTGTGAGAGAGAGAGAGGGGGGGAGCGCTGGCTGCTGGAGAAATCTTGGGAACAGCGCACTGCCTCTTTAAGAAGCTCTTCTCTGGGTCACCATTCATACCTCCGGGTAGAGCAGCTCCCTGTGTCCGACCCCTGCTCTGCAGAGATGGAGCCGCATAGGGGCAGGGGACACCCTGACATCATCTCCCCCCTCCTTCCCTGCAAGGCTAGCAGGAGCATCCTGGGAGGGGGCAAGGTGAGGGGAGGGGCGGCTGAACACATGCTGCCACCGGTAAGTGTGTGTTAATCACTACGTGGACCGGATCTGGGCCATATTTTGCTCACCCCCGGCCTAGCCTGTGATTCCCCCCTTTGTAGCTGATTTGTTTCCTTCCTAACTGAAGTGCTTTCCACTCGTTCCTACCTTACGTCCATCTTGCTGATTTCTCCAATTTGTCAAGGTGACTTTGAATGCGAATTGCGTCTTCCCAAGGGCTGG